TTGCTACTCACTGAACTTGCCTGAGACAACATCACAAGATGCAGCTACAAAATCGGACAGGTGGAGATGCTGGGAGCACCACACTGTGGGTGCCTCCCTCCCCATCCGTGCCCCATAAAGTCATCGAAGCATGATGTTCTGCAGACCTTAGCTACTCTCCCCGTCTGGTTACAGGCCAGAACTTCCAGTCAGACTCCCCCGGCACTGCCCTTATCCTGCCACTATAAATAAGCAGACACGCCTCACTTCCCAGGCTGTCCTGTTCTCCCATCAGGAAGAAGGCTCCACCTGGCCTCAGCTTTTCGTATCTCTTTGTCTTTTCTTCACTCCCCACCATCTGCCCTCCAGGGACCCTCCATCCACGCAGACCGTGACACCCAGGGGCACACTCACCAGTCTGAAGCCGTCATCCCTCACAGGCACGCGGGCTCCATGTGTGGTTCTCTGATCAGCCCGATAGTGAAACAAGCAAAGTCTTGAGTGCTTGCTAAATAGCTTTAACTTTCATTTCTCCTCATTTCCTTATTTTACTAGGGAAAAAAAAAAAAGAGGATTCATTCACATGTATCTGCTTACCAAAAATAAACAACCTAAATAAACAGAGGTCTAGACAGCCTAAGATACCTTGTTCTAAATGTTTCCCTATCAAAGGGCTTCTATATCTATTATAAATGAAATTTTTAAAATGAAACTACATGGTGAAAATATTCTCTGAGATAGTCTTCTCAGAATGTTCTGGTGAATTCTATTCTTCTATAGAAAGCCAAGGGAACTTATCATCACTTTGTTTTCTTTCAATGTAATTACAGTCCAGCTCTCATTATTCTGTGATAGGATTTTCCTAAAAGGTAGTGCACACGTCTAAATGCTGACACCATTAGTGTGAAAGGTTTGGAATCAACGCCAGAAGAAGAAAGCACTCTATGACAAAATGTTTGCATATATTTAGGAATGAGGTTAAGCTCTCTTTAAGAACTGATGCTTGGAAAATGGATACATATTGAAGATATACTCCTAAGTGAAATAAATAAGTCACACATGTGTAAATACTGAAGTTTCCCTGGTGTGAATAATCTGCAATAATACAGAAGATCCTAATAAGATTACTGACATTTAGAAATGGGAAGAAAGGGGCTAAAGGTGTAGGGAAGGTGGGATGGGTAGGGGAAGGGTAATAAGGGAAAAGAAAAAAATGTGAGATAATGAAAAGATGGAACTAAAGTGTTTGTAGATGGGGAGGGGAGGAGGGGGTGAAGGGAGGGCAGGGACAAGGGGAAAAATGAGAACCAAGACCTGTCATGTAGAGGTACAAGATCCCAACAATGAATGTAACTGTACTGTATACCTAAAATGTACCAATAAACTCAATTAAAGTTGAAAAAAAAATAAAGAACTGATGCCTTGAACAAAAAGAACCCAACTCATTTCATCCCACATAATTTACTTTTCAATAGCCCAAACCATGGTGGTCACTTATTCAGCGAGTTTTACTTAATTTACACAAATGATAGAAGAGAAACAGAATATATTTGATGAAAACCCTTACCAAAGTTCACCTCTTTCATGAGGGCTGTAAATATGAATTTAAAAGGTCAGTCTAAAGTGGCAATAATACATCATTGAGAAATGATATAATAAATTAAAGATATTTAATTTGGGGAAATACACACATGCCTGAAAGTAGTAATTTCTTTTGAAAAACATACTAATTTTACAAGTCCCTAATGAAAGGCAGAATGGCTAATCCGAGTTTGCAGAAACCTCAGACAAAGCCCACTGCCCTCCTACCACAGCCAGCCTCAGGCCCTGCTCACCCACTGATGCTGCATCTGTGGACAGAGAGGCACTTACCTGGGGTACCTGTGGGGATCCAGGGATCCTGAAAAAACTGCACAGCTTTAAGAGAAAGATGTCATCAGCTCAGCTCTCTGCTGTGTCATTTTAGCATCTGTAGAAAGGTAAGAGAGTCCCCTGTAGAGCACTTCACCTGTTTCTAGATTTCGCTTTCCTCCTTCCTGGATTACAGCCATCTGGGGACAGCTGTACTCAAATCTGTTCAAAGTTCCCTTGACACATATGTGAGCGGGGGGTTAGAAAGGTCAGCTCAAGTGGACACCATCATGTTCTCTCCACTTGATCCTAAAGGCAGATTAGTCCCAATCCACTGCATCTTCTAGGAGATACTGAGCAACATGTGCTTCATGCTGGGTAAAGGCTGTGGTGCACCTGGGGGCCCACAGTGCACCCTAAGTTCACTTTGTGCTGATGGCCAGCAGCACCATTTTTGATGCCATGTTGCACAGTGGCACGGCCACAAAGTCAGCCCATCCAGCCTGACATGGAGCCCACCACCTTCCTGGCACTGCTCAGCTTTCTGTATCCGATGAATTTCAATTCGATCCAGAAACAGCCATGACCACTCTGTGTACTGCTATGAAAGAGGCTGTTCCAGCCTTGGAAGCACATTGTGTGAACTTTGTCCCCACGCATCTTAGAGCACATAGAGCCTTCATATTACATACTCAGGCTCCATTTGTTGATGAACCCCAGCTTGGGAGCCTCAGTCTAGGCACAAGTGACAGAAGCACCATGGATGCAACCAGCACAAAAGAGTTTGCTGAGCTCCATAGCTACACACCATTCAGTTCTAGAAAGAGACATAGGAGCTGCTGTATGGGGCAGAAGCAGAAAATGAGAGACAACCATTGCTTGTGACTTTTGGAAACAGTTCTAGGAAACGCATTTCCGTGGACCTGGTTACCACTGATGACAGCTGAAGAGTTTACAGCAGGCCCTGTTCCATGAAGCATTTGTCAGATCATGAAGTGATGATCTGTCTTCATTTCACAGTCAACCCTGAACCTCAAGGGGAGCACATCTCCCACCTGAGATGCTGGCTCGGGGAAGGAGCACTGCTCAGCAGTTTCTGGCAGGTGGAGGCACTGGGGTCATTGATGCTGCGCACGCCAGTGTGGCAGGGTCTCCATGGGTGCTTTGAATGGGACTGTGAATGTGTTAGTGATCCTCCTGTCACAATGGAATCCAGGATCATTTTGTCCCTGGATTTCTCTTCTCCATGTTCAGTGATCGATGTAGTCACGTGATCACCTGTGGGGCCATGCTAGATCCACAAAAGCCAAATCACACTCAAGAGTTTTCCATCCACAGTGAACCTGCGGGAACCCCCAGAAAGTAGGTGAGACACTTGCTACCAGCAAGGCTGTTTCATCCTTCCTTAGTACCTCTGCCAATAAAAATGGCACTTCATTTTAACTTTCATCTAGAATATTTATGCATATAAGGAATCTTAATTTCTGCCAAGGGCAGCTCACTGGGAAACAGGTCCTAGGGAGGGCGCAGGCGGAGAAGCAGACTGAGCTGAGGGTGGACAAATACCAGCACTAATACTGGATACATAATTTCATGTTGTAATAGGTCTTTAATGAGGTAGCACCATATCATCTACACTCATATCTAGAATCCAACATAGAAATAAATGGCCACAAAAAAGTTTGAATGGTCTGAGTATTTACTGCCATACTAAGAAACATTTTATTTTCTTCAAAGTCACACATAAGGATTTATTTAAATCTCTCCATGATTTACAGGCAGATTTTCCACTTTTTTGTCACTGTGGGGAAAAAGACAGCTGAGTGTAATTGTATAAAAATGCAGCAGTTTCAGCTGCTCTTTGTATCATTTCATAGATCAGCTATATCAAGGTGTTTCGATTGTTTTAGGAATGAAAAGCTCTTGTTATACATGGATTGTTTGATTTCTTTATTTTTAACTCTTTTGATGAATAGATAAAATGGGAGAGTGTGCCTGCAGAATTCCTATGAACTCAGAGGAGAAATTTCAGAAAATTAAGAAAACTGACCTTATATTTGGAATTTTAAAATACCTGCTTGCTAATATTTGGAATCATGTTCAGAAAAGCCCTAAGGACAACCAAGAAAAATTTCAGAAAAGGACATTTGTAACAGCAGAGCAATGCATTGCATACTACAGCTTCACCACTACAAATAGACTTTCTATAAATCCACAGTAATGTGATATAAATGGAATCTAAAGGTACAGTATAAGCCTGCATTCTCTATCCCTCAGCAGTGTCCCCGTACCTGCGTGTCCATATGGGATGCTGCTGATGAGCCAATATTGTGTTGCTTGTGGTGACTGATGATTTTTAAAGACATTGCTTCAACATTATGATCATCCTACCTAGCAAGAAACGGAACAGGTTACCAACATTTCCACCAGTGACTTTGATATTATAAAGCTCAAGAGACTCACTCCTGTCAAAAGGTATGCTTTCTGTCACACAGTGCTGTTCAAGAGAGAAAATGTTTAATATTTGTGACCTCACGAATGTGACAGCACCTCTACGTTAGGAGGAAATGGGAAGTGTATTTGGCACATTGATATTTATACACTTTTATAGGAAGCAGATTTTGAAAATATTAGTGAATGACCTTTTCCCTTGAAAGAAACTGTAGTTATCATTACAGACAAGTACTTCTGCTTTACAATCATCGTATTCCAGAGAGAAGGTAGTGGAGGATATGGGGCTTGGGACATCTCATGTGCCTTCTGTGTTACACTGAAAAACTGTAAGTGAATGTAGCCAGAGAAAGAAGAAAAAACAGAAATCATTGCCGACACTGGGAAATCACCTGGAATTTTAAATGGAGAAATGCTTATTAGGCCTTACTTTAAAAATCACTACAAAGCATCAGAAGGAAAGTGCTTCAAGACCTTTAAGGAAGCAGAGATCTAACAGGATGGTAGAAAGCACTAACCACAGAAAAACACCTCTCCTTGATGAACAAACTTTGTGGAGATCATTTGACTTATGGGTTATACAGCTCGCTTTGCCACAGTCTCCTTTCAGTTTGCTGAACAGAAAGGCACTTAACATTTTCCTCAACATGACTGAACTTTAGGTAGATTTTTCCTGATTATAGGTCCTTGCCTTGCCCTTCCTCAGAACATTTACTTTAGAAAACTTTCACTTGTAAATTATTTTTTCCTTTGAGTTGTAAATGTACTCCCAGCCACTTGCCAGTGTTAAGACCCAAGGGTGTCTTTTTCCAGAAGTTTCCCGTTTTGTTAGGTATGGTGGAGCACGCCTGTAACTCAGCACAGGGAAGGCTAAGGCAGGAAGATCTCTGTGAGTTTGAGGCCAACCTGGGCTACCAAATGAGTTCAAGGACAGCCATGGATTACATGGTCAATCCCCATCTCAAAGGAAAAAAAAAAAAGCTACCCACTGAAAGGCAATCACAGGACTTCCGAGAAGATGATGGAGTGGTGAGCGACAGGGAAATACCCTCTCTGAGCTTTGGAGTTCAGACACTGAATCCTGGAATATAGCAAAATGAGGAGGACATGGAGGTACGATGCCACTTCTCACTGCCAGGGCACCAAAGGCCAGCCATGGGACAATGAGGTGGGACAATTCAAAAGCCACCCACCTAGACTCTCAAAAATGGTAACAACAGAAGTAATGAAACAGATGAATGAGGCTCTGGAAAAAATCAAATCAGAAATAATTTCTCAGAAAACTACAGAAATGATGACCAAATGAAAGACATAATTAGTGAATCTAGAATTGATAAAGATTTTTTTTTTAAAAGAGGAGCTTAGAAAAATGATGGAACCTATGAATACTCAACATAGGAAAGAGAATAGATTCCATGAAACAATTTAAAAAAGATATCCAGGAGATTCTAAGCTCTATTGAATGTATGTATACACAGCAGAGGGAACCAGTATGAGGACAGAATATCAGATCTAGAAGACAGCTTTGTAGTTACCAAAGATGGAAAGAAAGAGATCTTAAAAATAGCAAAAGCCAATCAATCCAATAGCTGCTAGGTAAGGGAAAGAAGAAGAACATAAGATGGACTGGAGCCAGCGAAAAAGCAGGAGATCGCACAAACGACCTAAGAAATAATGTCAGAAATTTTCCCAAGCCTGAAAAAAGAATTTGTTGTACAGATAAGTGAGGTGTATATAAAAATCCACATAACCATGATCAAGAAAATCTACACCAAGGCATGTTAATAGGCAAGACTCCAGAAATTCAACCCCCTCAAAATGTTAAAAGCTATTAGAGAAAAGAAACAAATCGCCCACAAAGGAAAGCCCATCAGAACCAGAGAAGATGGTTCAACACAATCCCTTCAGTCATGGACAGCTGGGAGTGAAGTATTTCAAACCCTAAAAAACAAAACAAAACAACATCCAACACAGATTGATGTACCTCTCAAACCTATCATTCAAAATTGATGGAGAAATAAGATACTTCCATGAGAAAGAACATCTGAAGAAATTCAAGATCACCAAACCAGCACTCCAAAACATTCTGAAGTATATTCAGAAAGAGATAATCAACACTATCAATCAAAGAGAAAGAGATAATCAACACTATATCTCCACAAACCCCAACAGGATGAATCCACCAGGCAAGGCAAGCAATTAAATGGTGGGGAAAGAAAGAGAATCATCATCAGGAAAATAAGATAACAAGGAAAAGTCAATAAATATCAGTCATAACCATCAGAGTAAATGGTCTCAATTCACCAATCAAAAACAGACTGGCAGAAGCTGGGCGTGGTCACACATGCCTGTAAACCCAGCACTCAGGAGGCTGAGGCAGGAGGATCACTGTGAGTTCCAGACCAGCCTGGGCTACACAGGGAGTTCCAGGGAAGTCTGAACGAGATAGTGAGATCCTGTCTCAAAAAACTAAAAAAACAAAACACATACACAAAAAACAAAAAACCAGACTGGCAGAATGGATCAAGAAATGACATCCAATAAAATATGCTTCCTACAAGAAACATATTTAAGTAAAAAAGAAATTCATAGACTGAAAGTAAAGGATGGAAAACAATAGTCTATATCTCAGGAACCCAGAAAAAAGCAGGTGTGGCTATTCTATTGCAGAGAAAGTGGATTTCAAGCCAAGACTGATCAAGGGAGACAAAGGTCACAACATACGTATTAAGGGGACAATATAAGAAGAGGTAGCTATCATAAATATATACACATCAAATACCACTGCTCCCAACTATATAGCATAAATATTGATGGACATGAAAAATCAAATAAGCACTAATGCATTTGTAATGGGAGACCTCAAAGCCCCACTGTCACAAACAGATCAACTAAACAAACGAACAAAAAAAAAATCAATGAATATCAGAACTGAAAAATACACAGGGTGTACATCCCACAAGATCACAATACACAGACTTCTCAGCTGCAAATAGGACATTCTCCAAAATAGACCATATACTAACTCATTGAAATTGCTGAAGTGAATACCTAAGAACTGAAATTATCGCATACATGTTATCAAACCGGAGAGCAATGAAATTAGGAATCACTGGCAAAGGACATCACCAAAACTGTATAAAGACGCAGAAATAAAATGACATCTACCCAAACAGCCAGTGGGTTACAGGTGAAATTGAAGAAAGCAGACAGCTTCTACAATTAAACAATAATGACAATAAAACATGCTGGAACTTATGGGATGTCATGCAAGCAGATCTATGAGGGAAATTCACAGCAGTGAATTCTCATAACAGAAAAACTGAATGAGCTCAAATAAACAACCAAATGTTAAACCTCAAGCTTCTCGAAAAAGAACAAGTCATGATCAAAGCTTGTACAAGAGAGGAAATTACAAAGTTCAGAGCAGAAATTAAAGCAACTGAGGCTCAGAAAATAAGTCAGTCAATGTATCAAAGAGTTGATTCTCTGAAAGATTAACTATAATTGACAAAACTTAACCACCCTTATCGAGAAAAGAAGACACTCAAATCCATGCAATTACAAATGAAATTGGTGGAATTATAATAGATCCTGCAGGATTCCAGATGATCATCAAGAACTTGTATTCTAAGATGGAAAACAGAAGAAGTGGGCAGATTCTTAGATACATGTGAATTATCAAAGCTGAATCAAGAAGACAAAAAAATTCTAGATAATCCAATATCCGTTAATGAAATTGAAGATGTAACTTACAACCCGAGCAACTAAGAAATGCCCAAGCCCTGATGGATTCACTGCTGAACTCTACAAGACATGTAGAGAAGATGTGATGCCACAAATCCTAAAACTCTTTAATGAAATTGAAAGGGTAGCAATACTCCCAAACTTATTCCTAGAAGTAAGCATTA